TCGACCGCTTGCTTCTCTAGTTATACCAACTTTAGTAACAACCGCATGATAGCAATACAGAGAGACACTCCCTCAGCCAAAACGCCACTCTATAGCCACAAATAATGCTCAGAACAGCACCTAACTTCATCAACAGGACATATAGGGTCACAGACATAGTACTAGACACCAAACATCTTTTTAACTTTGACTCATTTCTTTAGCAAAGAGACTAAACACAACTCACCTACTCTCTTCCAGCAGCCGCTTGTTTGTAGCAAGACCTCCAAGTGAGTCCATTGACTACAGCGGGGTGACGCAGGTCAATGAAGAACATTTATGATCATTTTGTTCATGGAAATACAATCAGACTGAGACGCTAAGTCAAAAGAACTACAGCGTCTGCAGTAAAAATGATTAATATGATGATTATTAGTTCAAGGAAATGATAAAAAAAATGATCATAAATGTTCTTCCTTGAGCTGAATCAAATCAGGACAGATTAAACCGCGCTGGAAACTCGTGTGGTTTTATGAAGAGGTAGGTTTTTGAAAACATTTGTCACGTCCTCTTAAACAGAACGTATTCCTCGTGTGCTTTGGTGTTAAAGTCAGGAGCTTTAGTTAAATATTCAGCCGAGAAATCAAAGTTCTCTACGCTGCAGATACTTTCCTGTGTTTGATTAGTAAATTATACTCATAACTTAATCCGTCTGTGATTCTGAGATAGAATACATAATTTGTACAGTCTTTATGAGGCTAAGCCACAAGGAGCAATAACTCGGAGCTGAAACTTCCACGGCCTCTCTCAGTGACAGTGTCTCCATACTCACTTTCTCTGGTGTGTAATCGTGTTGAAAAATGTTTGATTTGTTTCTAACCTGTCTGATTTAGTAGTTAACAAACTTGTAAAATGAATCACAAAAACAAACACCGGACATGAGGAGCTGGAACAGTTTGTTTACGAGCTGAAAACGCTGTTTTCCTCTATTTCCATAAAAATTACACTCCTCCACGCTCTCTCGCAATCTGGTGAGCATCTGATTGTTATTTAGGCCTCATTGTACCGTTATCATGATAGAGACACCGCGCTGGGGCCTGAAGGCTCTTAAAAGAAACCCAGAGAGGTCTAAATTCAGACTGTGACTGACATCGGTCACCATGAGGAGGCTGTAATCAGAGCTGGCTTTGTGCAGCGCAGACACTGGGACCATCCATCTGTCACTTAAAAAAAATCCAGCACAGCCTCAGAGCTGCAGGCTGACGGACAACAGGAGGACAAAGATGTCTGCTTCACTGTCTTTCAAACCATCTGTCCAAAAAACAAGTCCTTAAAGACATGAACAAAACTCATACTGAGGTCCACAGAAGATCCATGGACACCAGGATACACACAAACGTGACAATATAACGCAGAGGCTTGACTTCTTGACATCTGACAAATATGTGTCTTAGTTTCTGTGCTTGAACGGTTACATTTGCGCATATTTGTTTCTGCATGCATCAGAAAGAGAGTGCACATCAGAAAGAGTGCACATGATGGAGAGCTTGGTGTCGAAGGCGGGCTTGCAGTTGTTTAAGCAGGTGTTTGAGGAGACGGAGGTGAAGGTGTCCTCATCTTTCAGCATCCTGGATTAGAAGGAAAAGTAACCATGAAAAGAAACAGGGTATAGAGAGACTTAAGACCAGGTTTTAGTTCGTCTAAGGTGCCGCGGCCTTCTGGGTCCACCTGTGACCCGACCACACAGCTTTTTAAGACATTGGAATTCTGCAACTGCCTTTTTGCTCTCATTTCTTTTCCTGATATAAAGTCAGTCAGTTTGACAGTAAATGAAGCGACATTTTAGAGCTATTTCAGGCAGGTAACTTGAACTGACTTCCTACAACACATTTACGCCGCTCAACTCTTGGGTCAAAGCCTGATGTGCAAACTTTGGGAGATTAACAGAGTGCTTTGGCTGACCTCCAATTTCCACCGCTTCCAGAATGGCTACGATTTGGAACGGCAGCGATTTTCACCGTCCGCCAATTCCTACCGGATCTGTTGTCATAATTGACAAGTACGGATAGCGGTAATTACGAGAACTCACAAGAACCCGCGGATTCACGTTCAATCACGCGATAACAAGTTGTCTCTATAAAGACAGCCACATAGACATATAAGGAGTAGATTATGTCCTTTCAGAGGAGGAAATCTACTTCTAGACTTCTAGAATCAGCATCTCCTCATCCATGGTGTCATCGGGGTGAAATGCTGTCTATAAACCTTTCACTTGTTCGTCTTCAACCGTTTGCATGGTGTGAAATACGATCCGCCTGTTTTATTTTGAAAATAAGCCGGATGTTTTATTTTGTGTCTGTGCCCGACTTCCTTTCCAGCACGGGTTAATCTGTGTTGAATTTATCCGGCATGCTCCGGCGTACGGAAAAAATACAACTCTTGCTGTGGAGTCCGGTGATCCGCAGTGGAACGAAAGAAGCCGTCAGAAATTGACACGTTAACTTGAACGGTTACGATCAGCTACGATCGGCGGATACGGCCTTTTCGTATCTTTATTTAAGACGCACAATTTCTGGTCCCGGCCTCTGCTTTGCCAACACAACTGCTGCCCTGCTCTCAATCTCATATTTATCCGCAAGATGTTCTGCTCCTGCAGTAACGTTCGGTTTATACAGTGTGAGTTGGCTGTCTGAGCTTCTCAAACCCTTCAGTCTGCTCCAGCTTTTCCTCCACTTTAGAAGTCCTTTCTCCCTCAAGAGGGCAGTGTTTGAGTGAGAGAGCCTCCATCTGTCAGCACTCATCAAATCAGCGGGACATGAGGGATGCCAAGAACTCAGAGAGGAGGGAGGACATGCAGTCCGTGTTGTTTTATTCAAACCAGATACCAGGGTATAGAATACAGCATGTGAAAAATTAGATATATTTAAATCTCAACATGGTGCTGGAGTGTTTCTTACTGCAGATGGAGGGAAGGGAACAGCATGTCACAAAAGTTTAGAAAAATCAGGACTTTTTTAGATTTGGAGGTCGAACTGGATGAAAGGCCTGAGAGAGGACGGATAATAAAGGAATATTAATGAGAGGAACGACTGATGTGTCGTCTGTGGAGGAGTTTGAGGAGCGTAGTTCAGCAGTGAAACAGCCAAAAATAATGAGTCCAGAATAAGCCGGATCAAATATGCCTGAATGCCTCTCAGACACGTCAGCCTGTGGAGGTCGTTAAAAAGGAGGAGGTGATTTTAGCGCTTATTTCCAACAACAACAACAACAAGAGGAAAACAGTGAGATCAACAGATTCACTCAGAATAAAGAGAGAGGGCTACAGTCTCCTCCTGAAACAGCATTTTACTGCAGTTTTACCCTATTTTACTATCTTTTCACCTTTATACCTCCGTCCATTCACTCCATCATCGCTTCCTCTCCTCATCTCCTTTTTTCCTTCCTCTAATCTCTCCTTATATCTTTCTCTCCTTCTTTCCCTTTGCCCTTTCTCTCCATTTCCTTCTTCCTCTCCTCCTCTTCTCACCTTTCCTTACCTCTCTCTCCTCCTCTTTTCTTTTTCTTCCTTCCTAAATTCCCCTCTTTCCCCATCCTCTCACTTTGTGTCACGTCTTCCCTTCTCTCCTCTTCCTTTTCTTCCTTGTTGACTCTCTCTTCATCCTCTTCTTTCTCACCCTTTAAGTGTTTCTTTCTCATTTTTCTCCAATCCACTCCTTCATCTGTCTCCTCTTCTCTCCTTTTCCCTTCTCTTCTTCTTATTCCTCCTTACATTCATCCTCATAGTTCATATAGAAGAGAGTGGGGTAAGTTGAGCCACCCCCTGTTTCTTGGAAATGGTCAAAGAAATTGATCATGTGACCAAATATTTAGATACTGTCTGAGTTGGTTTGGCGTTCAATGGTACACACTCATTGTTATGAGGTGGGCCATAGCGCTAAGGGTCTTGCCTAAGGAACCACATGTGTCTCATGCTGGATTTGAACCCCAACCCCCGATTTGGGAACTGGATGCTCTACCCCAGCTGCCCAATACATACTGGGATAGCTACCCCAATATATCGCCATCGTTGTTTTCTTCCTCAGGAGGGAAGCCCAAACGACCCTCACCCCAGACACTTCCACCAGCTCCTCCAGGGGGATTCCCAGGTGCTCCCAGGCCAGGCGAGAGATATAGTCCCTCTACCTGGTCCTGGGCCGGCCTCGAGGTCTCCTCCTAGTGGGACATGTCTGGAACACCTCTAACGGGAGGCGTCTAGAAGGTGTCCTAACCAGATGCCCGAGCCACCTCAGCTGACTCCTCTCAACGTGGAGGAGCAGCGGTTCGACTCTGAGCGCCTCCTGAGTGTCCGAGCTCCTTACCCTATCTCTAAGGCTGAGCCCGGACACCCTGCAGAGGAAACCCATCTCTGCCTCTTGTATCCCTGATCTTGTTCTTTTGGTCATTACCCAAAGTTCATGACCATAGGTGAGGATCGGCACGTAGATCGACCGGTAAATCGAGAGTCTCGCCTGAAGGCTCAGCGGCTCACTTTAATGACCATTAGACCTAGAAACCATGCAGAGTCAATCGAACCCAACGTTCTGACCCAGTTATTGGGTTACTCTCAGAAGAATAACCAATAATCATTAACCCAATAAAATAACCCTCAAATTGGGTTACAACAGAATCCATACGACCCAAGAAACTTTTTTTTTGTCATGCTATATTATGAAGACGGTTCTGTTTACACTCATTCTGTTGGTTTGCAGGGATGAACAACATCCTGAATTATCTGCAGATACACGAGTTAGAGACTAAACTAGGATTGACTTGATGTGTCTCATCTTACCCCACTCTCCCCTATTTCCCTCTTTCCCCCTCCATCCTTTTCTCACTCCAGTCTCCTCACTCACCCCCCTTCCTCCCCCTTGTTTCTCAATGAATCTCGGTCCTGGTTCGACCCCTCCCACTTCGTGTAAGCCTTAATTGTCAGCGTGCGTAACTCCAACGTGCGTAAAGCTTAAATACCGTGCGCGCCTCTCTCGCTTAGTCTGGATCTGAACAACTTCTCCTTACAAGCATCACTCGCTCCCTCTCTCTCTTTTTTCTCCCTCCCTCTCTTTTTTTTCTCTCTCTCTCTCCCTGCCGGCCTCATTTGCTCCGTTTCTCCCTCGTCCTCTTCGCTCCCGTCTCTCCTCTGACCGTCAGTCCGTCAGCATGCAGGTGTCTCCGGCTCTCCTAGTCTCCAGCTCCCCGCCGCTGCTGCTGCTGCTGCTGCTGCTGCAGGGATGCTGCAGCGCCGCCGGGAAGGAGTGGAGGGTATTAAACAACGACGGCACGGAGATTTTACCGGAGTTCAGAGAAAACAGCGGGACACCACGGGAGGCGATAGTACAGGCGAATAACGGCGGCAACAATATCAACAACAACAGCAACAGCAACAGCAACAGCATGAACAACAGGCCGAACAGCAACAGGGGGCCAAACTCTTTCCCATACAGTAAGTAGTTTAATTCAGCTTCATATTGGATAAATCTGATAAAAATACAGGTAACACGGTTCAGGTAGGACAACTGAATAATAGTTAATCAATATTATTTAGAATATTAGAAGTATTTATTGGAAAAGTGTTGCATTTAGAGCAGTTTAAGGTCGATCTAATGTGGGTTTAAGTCACAGGTAGCTCTGAAATTTACACATTTTTACACATAAGTCTAATTTATTTGGTCAAAACTTACATTTTCATGTTAAAGTTTTTCACAACAGGTATATTTCACTCTTAAGATAAACATTTTAGCCAGTTTTGGACGGTATTCGGCATTTTCACGTCTAGACTGTACAGCTAAACCCACAAATGACGATAAAAGTCATGTTTGATAGATTTATACTGGATTTAAATTTGAGACGAAATCCTAAATATCAAATTAAAGGTCACTTAGCATCAATTATTCGTATGAAACAGGTCAGATGTACTGTGTAGCCCTTTATTGCCTTTGGTATCATATTTCTGTCAAACTAACATGATCAAGAAATTACTAAAAAAATCCCCTTAATACAGTCCAATAAATGATCAAAATGTTCTCTTGTGGTTTATCAGTTTATCCAAAAACATCTAATGTATCAAACCAGATAATTAAACATATTCGGTAAATTTTAAGGCCATTGTGATTATTTGAAATAAACATTTAAGCTGCAAAAAAATGTGAATTTTCATGTCATAATTTGTGTTTTCAGGCATTAAAGGGTTAACCTCTTTTAAAAAAATCAGTTCTTGACTTTATTAGATCGGACAACTCGAGAAAAACTGGCAGAAAGAGAAGAAAAAGATTCGCACCAAACTGAGAATCGATCCTGGGACCAGTGCGGTCTTTCACTGGCATCTGATCCTGACCCTTCAGGTCCCCTAAAGTGACTCCAAAACCTGCCTCTCCGCTCTGCTGTGTTTCCTCACACTCCCTGATTAGAGCGGCTCTATCGAGTGTGTGACGACTCTTTTCCTTTTTTTCATCCGCTGCCAGAGCCGAGTGTGATGAGAGCGACGCCGCAGACGCGCATTCTTGTGGTTTCTCCCTCTCCGCGATGTGAAGTGGAGCGCTCTCGGTGCCGTCAGAGCTTTTTTCGCGTTGTCTTCCGCGTTATTTCCTCCTCTCTTTACACTATTAGTCAAGCTCTACTTACGTTATAACTATTTGATTGCAACAACATGTCCTCCCGAAAAGAAAAAGCCCCACAGTTTGAGTGTCTTTTGGGGTTTGTTGGAAATTGCTTTTTAAATGCAACACTGCTTTTGTGATGATTCCCACCTGTGGACACTAGAGGTTCTGATTGAGGAGTTATGCGTGTAGGATAATCTCACGGCTCGCTCTCATGGATTCAAGATGGGTGGTGGCGCAAGATTCTCACAGTTTAATCATGGACACTCAGAGAGATTAGGAGGTGGGGGTGATTGATTAGATTAAAGGAGGAACGGCTGATGGGGATATTAGCAAATCAAGATGTGTGAGTGGGAGTGATTTACCACAACAAATCCACCCGTTTAAGAAGATGAAAAGATCCAGTGATGGAGTTTTTATTGTGTTTTTCAAGTGGAAATTCGCCATCAAGAGCCTTCAATACATTTTCAATCAAAAGAAAATAAATAGAGACTGCGTTAAACGCTGGAGATCAGGCATTGCAGGAATTTTATCCCCATTAGTCGCCAAAAAAGGGCTGGAAAACACAAGCCCTTGTTTTCACTGGGATAAGCAGCATATGTGTTCAGTTTTTCACCAAATCTCCTGGATTATTTCCTCATCCAATACTCAGTTTTCATCCTTGGATGGTTTATCAGGGTCCCTGTGGGGTCCTGGCCCTCCTCCGAAGACTTGTTTGAGGGGCGGAGGGAGCTCTTACAACTCGACAGTAGTCAAAAGAAAACAGAAAACACTGCTGAAAAGAGAGATTGGACGAGACAAGCGAACTATTTGTGATGAAGTTGTGATTGATGTAGGAAAAAAAAGCTGCCCAGTGTGTGTTTTGTGTACTCATGTGGTCCCTTTAGCGGCGGCTGCAGAATAACACCAGATCAAGTTCTCATGTGGAGGAAAAAAAAAGGAAGTCACCTCACATAAATCCTTTGTTCAGCCCTTTTTGCAAAGAAAGCCACAGAGGAAAACAGATCCCTTCTCTGAGTGTATCATTTCTTAACCGACCGTTCCTTTTTGTCGTCTTTTTTACACGCCGCTTGTAAAAAAAAAAAAACAACAACACTGCATAATAACTCATGCATTCGGCTGTTTGGGAGCTGTGGCTGAAACGCGGGATTACAGGCTGGAGAGTGTTGTCTTAAATCAGTCTGGCTCAGGTCCAGTTTGCTGTGAATTGTACAGTTGCTGCGCTGCCTTAAAATAACCAGACAGCTATTTACTCCTCCATCACCGCATACATTTCCTGAGGGCCAAAAGCTGAATGCCAGTTTTTCTCTTCCAGCACAAAAAAAAAAAAAAAAAAACTCCATTAGGTTTGATTGAGCTGTTTAATGGCCCTCTGGTCTGGATTTGCTATCAGCTGATTGCTGCCAGCTGGATTTCTTAGTCAAGGCCCGTCATCGGCAAACGATCGCACCATGAATCAAATTCAGAAACTCCGATCTGACCTTAAGTCTCGACTCAAATGCAGAAATTGCTTATAAAAACACGATAACTGATGTTTTTTTTTTCAATGAGATGTCAGGATTAAATGAAACTGATCTGATCTCGTGTCTTTACTCAAATGCAGAAAATTGTGCTGCACATTTTTCGGGTGCAATTTTGTGTTTCTTGCAACGCGTCAAATTTACTATCAGCTGAGTGTTTCCAGCTGGGTTTCTTTGTTAAGCCCTTTTACTGACTAAAAGTCACGACAGGACTCAAATTCAGAAACTCCGCTCTGACCATGTTGTCCTCATGAAAATGTAGAAACTATTCTGATGGGTCGATCTGGGTGGGGTGCATTTTTCAGGTGCATTGTTGAGTTTCAAAATTTGTTGACAGCAGTGTTGCTTGACAAGTCTTCATCTGTTCAATGTTAGAATAACCTAAATCCAAGTTTGAAATCTAAAAGCAGTTTGATGAGAATCGAACTTTAAACCACATATTTTTATTTACACTCAGAATCTTTTAGCGCATTTTCAGATGCAACGTCATGCTTAAAAATGCACTGAGTCACCCATCAGCTGATGTCTACCACTTACTTTCATCAGCTGTCTGCACCATGAACTCAACTTTGAAAGTTACCTAAATGCAGGTTTTTAAAACGATTCTCTTTTATGGAGCGCATTTTTTGGCGCAATTTTCTGTTTCCTGTTCTCTCTGATTTGCCATCAGCTGATCTGGACCCCCCCCCCTCCCCCCTTTTAATTAAATTCCAACATCCTTGTTTGTTTAAAGTCCTAAGCGTTAAATTCCAACCTTAGCTACAGAAAGTTGAGCATTTAAAGGCGCATTTTCAGGTGCATTGTTGAGTTTTGTTTTATAAGTCTTTAACTGGTCTGATAACCTGTTAGATGTTAGAATAACCTAAATCCAAGTTTGAGACATAAAAGCAAAGTTTGTTAAAAGTTGAACTTTAAACCACATATTTTTATTTGCACTCAGAATCTTTCAGCGCATTTTCAGATGCAACGTCATGCATAAAAATGCACCGACTCACCCATCAGCTGACTTCACTTTCATCAGCTGTCCACACCATGAATTCAACTTTGAAAGTTTCCTAAATGCAGGTTTTTAAACAATTCTCTTTTATGAAGCGCATTATTTGGCGCAATTCTCTGTTTCCTCTTCTCTCTGATTTGCCATCAGTTGATCTGGATCCCCCTTTGAATTAAATTCTGACATCCTTGTTTGTTTAAAGTCTGAAGCGTTAAATTCCAACCTTAGCTACAGAAAGTGGAGCATTTAAAGGCGCATTTTCAGGTGCATTTTTATGTTTATAGTGTGTCACATTGGCTGTAATGTATTCCTGCCGACTGTGACACCCCTTGAATCAAACTCTGGGCTGTACTGCTCTTGGATCACAAACTGAAACTCTGGTTTGATTTAAAGATTTCAGGGAAATTCCTGGATGAAAACTTCGGCTTCATCCTCTCAGGTGTGATTTTGTGTTTCGTAACACGTGAGATTTGTCGACTGATAACCGACTCTTTGTTCAAAACGTGAATAAATATAAAAATGTTGCTTTGGTTTTAAGTCCTGTTTTAAATTTCAATATTGCTGCAGTAAGTTGAGCTCATAAGAGTGCATTTTTGGGTGCATTTCTTTCACTAACATCAGAATTACACTTCCAGTTCTAGTTTTTCCTGGCTGATGTTGTTTGACTTTAAAAACCATATGAGGTGATGTCAACATAGGGAATGAGGGAAATGATCAGTAACCTGAATTAGACGCAGCTGCAGTCTTGAAGCAGTTAACCTGCAGGATGTCTGCTCCAATACGCGGCACTTCAAAGTGTTTGTTTTGGGCTACAGCCACGAGTGTAACTGTGATATCCTGCTCTTCCACCCAGGTGCCTCGGAGCTGAGCTGCAGGGAGCTGCGCTCCACCCGCTACATCACTGATGGATCCTGCCGCAGCGCCAAGCCTGTCAAAGAGCTGCTGTGCTCGGGTCAGTGCATGCCCTCGCACCTCATGCCCAACTCCATCGCTCGCGGCAAGTGGTGGAGGAATAACGCGTCAGAATACCGCTGCATCCCGGCCCACTCCCGGACACGGAGGGTCCAGCTGCACTGTCCCAACGGCAACACTCGGACTTACAAAATACGCGTGGTCACCTCCTGCAAGTGCAAGCGATTCAGGCCTCATCATAACCAGTCGATGGCGAAGGAGGTCCCCAAGAGGCCGCGCAATAAGAAGCTGAGCCGCTCGCCTCAGGACCGGAGCAAGAATAACTCTCCTTTGATTGGGAACTCGTACTGATGCTCCTCTTTTGCATCCAAGGACTGACACCAAAGGACACTCACACACACACACGCACACGCTACACGACACACCACCCAACATGTCTCCTTCAGATACAGAGGAGATGCAAGAGACATTTCCGAGAGAGCGAATTCATAAGCTAACTGCTGGGCTGGTTTACGTCATCAGTCTTCATTTTCAGCCACCTGTCAGCGTATTTGTGAACTTTGCTTTTTGCATGACTCACTGCCAGGGCTTGCCACGGCTTGGACTGGTCAGGAAATGTAGCAACAAGTTGGACGACAGAATACCTGATCGCCCCCGCAGCTCCAAACCTCCTTGACCCTGGGTTTGCCTTCCACTTTAACAGATTTCTTTAAGCATAATGAGAAGTCCTTCCTGAAATATCAAAGCCATCTGTACAAACATCCAGCGGATGCAAAAACTACACTGCAGCGTTGTTTAAAGCTGAAAAGGTGTCTCTCCACTCCAAAGTGGTTGTAATCCGTCTCCTTTTGGCCGTGTGGAGGAGATGGTGGCACCTCTGGGGGCTCCGACGATTGGATGTTGACAGGTTTGAGAGGCCCTGGCTTGTGCGGTGGTCCAGGCGGCGCTCTGACAGCCCACTAAAGGCTTCACTCATCGGGACGCTCCAACCGTAAACTCCTCTCTCTGCTCTGTACAGTAGCGACTTTCCCACGAGTACATCCTCCGAGTCAGGGGGAGAAAGATACGAGGGGAGAAAGCAGATTTGGCGGTAATACGATGTGGTCACTGCGCAGCAGAGGTGGTAAAAGTACACAAGAAGTATTTGTATCAAACTGATCAAACTACTTACGAAAAACCTGCTCCTGTCGGCCGATACTCAAGAGATTATTAAGATTCTTATTTACATGTTTGTGTTTTAAAATGTGTCGTGAAATGAAAAGAAAAAAACAGTTCAGATCCTTCAAATGTTTCCTGTCTAGAGCTGCTCAGACTCTCTGCGCAGGTTAAAACTTCGATCACTGACATGGAACAGACTGTGACTGTGTGTAGAGATCACGTCACACAGGGCAGGTGTGTATATGTCTATAATCAGCTGGTCCTGATCCTTCATCTGACGCCTTTGAAACCCCTGTAGTGCTAGTTCAGGCAGGCCAGGCAGTCAAGCTCAGTCCCGGCTACATCAGCTGATACTTACACCTGCCTATACCAGCTGATTGATTACCCGTCAGGCATCAATTTAGCAAATGTCCAAATGAACTCAGTCTGTAAGAATGTTTGATTTTGTTAATAAGCAGCTTTATTATGTTGTTTTGATTGGATAAAAAAACATCCAGAGGAATAATTGATATCGTCAAATACTCTCTTGTGCATCTCTAATTTTTAAATATCAGATGTGAAAAGTGAAGGTTCTAAAATTCACTCATAATAAAAGGTAAAAGTAGACCTCAACCAGCTGCTTCTATGCAAAGATACTATTTATTAAAACACAATATATTTAGAGTTTTAAATCACTTAAATCCAGTGTGGAAATCAGATGAGTATTTTTTACAATCTTCACATCTACAAGTTTTCCCTGTAAATTAGAAATTCACTCCCGACGTCTCTCCTCCTCACTCGATTTCCTTTTATCAACTCCTTCTGGTAGTTTTGTTCACACTAACTTTGTCACACATGATGTCCTCAGATGAAGTTCTAGTCTGGATTTCTGCTTGTTGTTGGATCCTTTCAGGTTCAGGTCAGTCTAGATGTTTCGGGGACTGGTGCTTTTAAAACAGTCGACCTGAAGCATCAAACCTTTTTTTAATACGGCAGGAAGAGCGAAATAAAGATATGTGGGTGAAAATGATGGGATAAAAGCTGTAAGTGGGCAGGTTTGCTCCAGACTGTGTCTTCTCCTGGGCAGTATTTCACGCTTGTCTGTTCTTATCTGTCAAATTAACACAAACCTGCAAGTTTCTGCGGTGAAGGATAAACAAGGATGATGCAGTGATTTACTTAAGCTGTAAGAAAACTCAAACACTTCGTGACTTCCCACCTCTGCTCTGCAGTCGACTGATTCACCAAAATCGACCCGTGTTGTGTTAGTTATCTCAAAAAAGCCTTTCTGCTTGAGAGAGCCTGTTCCTGTTCCCTGAAATCACACTCCAGAAAGCGCACAAGTGTGTAGGAGGCGACAGAAAGTGATGCGTGGTTGTGTGGTGTCACCTAAGGGCAGAGCATTCTCCAGAACACCCACACCGGAATTTCTTCAGCAGAGCGCCAAATAGAGCAGCGATCAAGAAATCCACGCCGCAGGATTCAGTACACCTCCGCTCTCTGCTCCCCACGCTCAGACAGGAAACAGAGGAGCAGAAATAACCCGAATGAAAACAAGAATTCAGGTTTTATCATCGGACAGACTGATAAAATCCAGCAGGAAGAGGAAGCGGCGATACTCAGACGACTCGACCTCCTTCCTCTCTTGACTCTGTGCTTCATGAAGAATATCCACAGCGGTTGTTTCCGCAGATTGTCAGCACGCCGGTGTTTTTCCCGCTCTTATTGCTTCATTTTTTTTTTCCCGATTGTATTGTTTGGAAAAGCAACTGGAAGGTTTTGGTTGTGTAAGCTGAGAGCTGTGATGCATATTGTGATTGTACATATCATACCTGTGTGGTTTCTCGCAGCGGCGCCCTCACTTGACACGGCGTTACAGAGAAGCAGGGAGAGGGAGGGGGCGCTGTTTCCTACAGACACAAAGAAGGACTGTTATAAAGAATGAACTGCATATTTATTTTTTAATTCCACATTTAAATTATTTATGCAACCTTTTGTAGTAAATGATAGCCATTATTGTCTTATAGTACGATAGAGAAATGAAATACTGTACAGAACATGAATAAAGTAAAGGAAGGTATATTTGAACGCGCTCGCCTTTTTGTTGTCTTACTTTAAAGCTTCTTTGTGCGGAGTTTGGCACCCCCTGTGGACAAAGGGGTCTTTGCTGAATTTGCCCTGTAGATGTGTGTTTCATACTATCGTTTGTTTTCTGTAAAATCAGGAGAAAAAGCAAAAAGTTAAACTGAGTCCGACACCTACCCCCCTGTAGTCGTTCCTCACTCTAAAAAGGACGACATAGAAATAACCGCTCTTCTCCTTTATGGTCTTAATTACTTTTTTAGGTCATAAAAAGACATTGTTATTAATTTCACAACGAGCCGAAAACACCTCACAGGAGCTTTAACCGACTTATGGAGCAGAATCAACTTTATAAAGAGGTTATTAAAGCTCCTGTGAGGAATCTCAACTCTGAGAAGTAAACAAGACCATCAGGAACAAGACTGATTATTACTCTACAGTGAATTTTTAAGGTTTTTATGATTTTGAGGAAAGTTGTTAAAAAAAAAAAGTTAAAACCTGCTTCACGATTCGTAAACAGCTCATAAATACAGATAAAGAACAAGCAGTTAACGTTTGTCGTTACAGGAACCAATATATCAATACAATTACAATTGAGTAAGGTCCAATACTTTGATGATAATTTAAGGCTACAAGCACTTCAGAAAAAAACACGGAAGTCTTCAGGTATAGAGGTATCACTTTGTCCACAGGGGGCGCCAAAGTCAATGCAAACAAAGGACATGTATCTCTTTGTGTGTTTTCATGGTTGAGAGAAATCGCACCCTGAATTAAGACTCGTTAATGGTAACGATGACGCACCGACACCTCAGGGTTTATAATCATCGCATCCGTTTGTCGTACAATTTCAAATAACATTATCTTGCGTTTCAAAATGGCTTTTTTTAGTCTATGCTAATAATGCAAACCAGTTTTAGCAAATAACAGCGGACCCGTTTAGTACCTCTGTAGATCTGGATAAACTGTACCTGAGTGTTCCTATTACGCTCTCAGATCACAGTTTATCGAGAAGAAAAAGTGACTTTAATTCAAGGAAACATGTTCCTACTGCTTTTTCATGATTCAAGCATGAAGGGATAATTTGACATATTCAGTCACTGGCAAATATTTTGTACTAACAAACATTTGAAATGTCATTAAATCTGCCTGTGAGCTCATGATACCCTGTTACAAACAGCTGTTTACACAGAGCTCACAAAGGCTCAGTCCAGCAGGTTTAACCCTCGGTCTCCATCCAGCCTAAACGGACATGCAGATAAATCTTCATGAAATAGTCATTTTTCAACATATTTTCTAACTTTTTCAACGAATATCTCTTTAACAACTTCAGCCCTGACCATTAAAAAATAAATAAACAGAAAATTCAATGTATTTCCCTTTTTTGCCAGTTTGTGTGCTAATTTAAATGGTAAAACTCACGAAATTGCCATATTTCCGATATGAAATGACCAAGATGATTTTTTTAAAATAAATAGAGTCTGGGCCATGTTAATGATGAGATGTAAAACCAACTTTGGTGTATTTAAATCCTTTCGTTGTGCCAACTTTTCTTATTTGAAGCCCCATCCAGCCTCCTTTGTCCACAAAAAGTGCTCATAAAATAATAAAATAATAATAATAAAATAATCATTTTTTAACACATTTTCTCACTTTTTTTGACTCAAATCTCTTAAACAACATCAGCACTAACTATCAAAAAAGTAATGAATGAAAAATTTGATCTATTACCCTTTTTATGCCAGTTTTTGTGCACCATACCACTGCGATTTTTGATGATAAAAGACACAAATTTGCCATATTACCCTTTATAAAAATGACTTAAATTATTATTTTTAATTTTTTTTTTTTTTTGAAGAGTCGGGGCCATGTCAATGATGAGAAGTAAAACCAGTTTTGGTGAATTTAAATCCTTTTTGTTGTGCCAATTTTTCTTTTTTTAGGTTCCATCTTGCCGACTTTGTGCCCAAAACGGACATGCAGATAAATGTTCGTAAAATAACCATTTTCTCACATTTCTTCTTACTTTTTTTTACTCAAATCTCTTGAACAACTTCAGCTCTAATCATTGAAAAAGTAATGAAAAAAAAATCGATGTATTTCCCTTTTTATGCCAGTTTTTGTGCAACACGTCATATTCATTCATAAAGTGTATTGCAGTGGAAAAACGCCATTTTCACCCCCTTTTCTAAGAACACTCTCCAAATTTGATACCCTTATCTCTAAAAATGTGACTGTCAGCTCAAAATAAAGATGAAAAAATTGACAAATGTCCTCAAAACGGACAAAGTAGGAACCGAGGGTTAATGTAAAACGACTCCTATATAGAGAGTATGCAGACTTAGATTAAAGACCACCTCTCAGTTGAGATTCCCCACAGCTTGGCCTGTCTGCACATCTCTGCAGAAGAAGAAGAAGAAGAAAAAGAAGAAGAAGAAGATTCCTCTGCTTCTGAGATCTCTGTTCGGTCGCACTAACGTTTCTAAATTTACGAGGATGGATGAGAGCCACAGCCATCATTCACTCCTGTCTGTCTCTCCTCTCTTGTGGCTCCAGGCTTGATACACTCTGAGTTTGGGAGTTCAAAATGTGAAATCCTTCTTTGCTTGATTTCAGAGCTGACTGGATGCCTGTCATATCTGGAGAGAACTTGCCAGCAGCACTGCCAGCGCTCTCTGCAGCTTTGGACGTGCTGTCAAACGGGAGTTATGCAATCCAGGCGCTGAAAAAGAAACCAGACTAAATGAGTTGTTTATGCAACAGATTTTTTCTGCGAATGTAATGTCGAATTTCAGGCCGAGAGCCCCCTGAAAGGCCCAAATAAAGTCAGTGTAAACACAAACAGAGGATCGCTGTAGCAACCTTGGCTGGAAGCTGCTCATTGTCGTGCCATTGAGGAGCAGAAGATATTACATTTCACTACATCATCCATAATGTGCCGTCATTATGTCATTTTCAAGTCCTGTTTTTCTGAAGAGAACAGACATGCCATGCTTTGAATCAGGCATCCAGCAGCGGACAAGTTTCCCAGAGCGCATACCCAAGAGCTGAACCTAAATATATCGATGCTGACAAAGCATCTGCAACCTGTGAGCAACCCTGCAGACCGGGGAGGGGGGATAACGGAGGTTCACCAGAAGTCAGCGATGATCTATTCCCAACAAACGCAGCGAGTCTGCGACACTTGTGTCATCACGGAAGTTTTGAATACCAGGTGCGGAGGTCTCAGAGGATCCCGGCTCTGTGTAAGAAACCAGACTTGATTAGGTACACACAACAGAGGGAGTTCACAAACTCTATAGGAATATTTATAGAAGTGACATACTCAGCACAATAAATGGAAACAGGTTCCTGTGTCCAACATGGGAGGAGAAATAATCACACAACGCAACCCTGATTACAAACCAGCTGGAGCCGCGTGTTCCAACAATCTCTGCACCATTTTCAATCATAAAAGGGATGTTCCAGCGTAAATAATTAACTCAGGGTCAAACACACCATAACACTTCTCTAGTTATACCAACTTTAGTAACGACCGCATGATAGCAATACAGAGAGCCACGCACTCAACCAAAACGCCACTCTGTAGCCACAAATAATGCTCAGAACAGCACCTAACTTCATCAACAGGACATATAGGGTCACAGCCATAGTACTAGACACCAAACATCTTTTTAACATTTCTGCGCTGTAACTCAACTGTATTTCTGTCATAACTCGGCATCATTTTTGCAGACTCAGAGTCCATACAGCCATGATTAAACATGGAAATTCGCTCTGTCTCCAGAACCTCGGGGCTCTCTGTGGTTGTTTAGTCTAAACACAACTCACCTACTCTCTTCCAGCAGCCGCTTGTTTGTAGAGACCTCAGGCCAGTCCATTACAGACTAAAGCGGGGTGACGCAGCTCAAGGAAGAACATTTATGATCATTTCTTTATGGAAATACAATCAGACCGAGACGCTAAGACAGAAGAACTACTAAGGAAATGATAAATAAACGATCATAAATGTTCTTCCTTGAGCTGCGTCACCCCTCTGTAGTCCGTAATGGACTGGCCTGAGGTCTCCGTACAAAGGAGCGGCTGCTGGAAGAGAGTAGGTGAGTTGTGTTTAGCTGAAGAAATTTGTTTGTTTGGCTGTTTGGTGTCTAGTACTATGGCTGTGACCCTGTATGTCCTGTTGATGAAGTTAGGTGCTGTTCTGAGCATTATTTGTGGCTATGGAGTGGCATTTTGGTCGAGGTTTGTTTATGGCTCCTCAGACTGCTGTGTATTGCTATCATGCGGTCGTTACTAAAGTTGGTATAACTAGAGGAGCAAGCGGTCGGCAACATTCATCCCTTGACGGGGTGTCTAATTCGGTGTTACGGTGTGTTTGACCCTAAATAATTTCATGCCAGAATATCCCTTTAAATTCAAAGTTCACTCTGTGTCCAATCTTTTCTGGAATTGGGTTGTACATTTCTTGCGTCTTTCCCAACAAATCTCCGCACCACGAGATTCACCTCCTCTCAAACTCGCCACGTCTCCAGCTCAGCTCTGACAAAACAAAAGGACCCAAGTAGGACAAATGTCAAGATTCTGCTCACAAATTCACACATCTGCTTCCTTTGAACTCATTATGGGATCGTAAAATATCTCATTTCAAGCTCCGTGAAGCGCGAGACTTATTGTTAGCACATAGCCAGGAGTCGTCTCGAAGTGGGGCCACTTGAACGTCCTCGGCGCGGTCGACACAGACTTCACTGATGTTCTGCCAAATGCAGAAGAGACAGTCGGATAAAAAAGGATTGTTTATCATCTGCGTGTAAAGAGAAGCTCGACTGCGGCCTGTTTTTGCCAGAGGTATTCGTCTAACAAAAACAACCGCATCTCTTCTGTCAACTGAAAGTGACTCGAGGTGACATTCATAGCGAGTGAAGCACTCCCTCTAACACGCCAAAACACCCTCTATAAAACAGCCGTCCAAGCCGTTTATCACCATGGAACATATTCAAACCTTCTTCATGGATTGTATAAAGTTTTAAAGCTTGTACACCTCTGTAGTTTCACCTCCGGGCCTTTCAGTCCGACTCTTCCAGGAGCGGATATTATGGCTGAAGTCAAACACATATGGACAGTGACGGATGTACTCGGAGACGGATGTTTGTGCTCTTCCGACCACTCCCTTATCAGGCAGGGAGCGCTAATAGCCTGAAACAAATGGAAACCAGAAGAGATGTCTGGCTGCCTGAAGGAATGAGAAACGCAGAAAACACAAGATCGACTGATTTTCTGATCTGAAGACAATGCAGCCTTTGGAAAGGGGATCGTGTTTCCTGCAAGATGAGAGTGTTATTCTCAGCAGGGATGGGAGAAGTTTGGGTCAGGATTGAGGCCAGACCCGGAGAGTCTTTTTGTGTTAACTTCACTGTGAAGTTCTCCGCTCTGTGAGGGTTTAAGACAGATAATGACGAAACAGGCGAGAGTAAAGGTGGACGAGAAGATGCCCGTTTTTCTGAGTTGGACAGTAGCGCCGTACGGGTCAGGAGCGTCCACTGAGCCGTCAAGCCTCAGTCTCTCAGCTGAGTCCAGGCATGAAGGGAGGCCAGCCAACCACATGTGCTCGGGACAACAGGAGGTGCAGAGGATAGGAAACAGGGCTGTCAACAAACAATTCTAAACAACCACAGCGAGCCCCGAGGTTCTGGAGACAGAGCGAATTTCCATGTTTAATCACGGCCGTATGGACTCTGAGTCTGCAGGAATATCCGCCAAGATGATGCCGAGTTACGACAGAAACACAGTCGAGTTACAGCGCAGAAAAGTTCTGCGGTTTTTCATTATTATACCACCGAATATCAGAGTTTGATCGAGTGTTTTTGTTCCTCACAGCAGAAGAAGCCCAGAAATATGAAAACAAAAAAGATACAACAACTCAAGGAAAAGAAAAGAA